CAGTGATTCTAGAAAGACAGTAAAATGATCAAAGTTTTTGTTTAAACTACGAATATTAACATGAATTATATTCAAATCTGCATTTGGACTATTGAAATAGCTAACATCATTGACATTATCACAAAATTTAACTTCATAATTCTGATAGTCATCAAATAATTCATTGTGCATCATAAATATGGATAGAAAAAAAAAACAATAATAGATTGTTTCAACTAGGCAGGGTCTTTTAGGCTGTTACCATTTCCAGCATTTCATGGACTTGTTCTTTGCTGTCAGGTGGTGAATATCTTTCGTGCAGCAGTTTGAGTATTTTTTTCTGCGAACTGAAATCGACAGTGCGAAATTGGAACTCTTGGAAATGTTATTTCTGTGAGTGAATTCCAGAAATCTAAATCGATTCAACAAAATGTGTTTTCTATACACTTCTGGGAGATTGAGATCTGATGACTTCTTGAGATTGCCGCCGTTCTAGACGAGACCACAGAAAAAATCATAAAAAATACAAGTGGAGAATGTATGATTGATACACGGTGATACCGAATTTATTTTTATTGAACAATATTCTCTCACGCTATTGCAGAAAGTAGCATCTTTGCAACTTTCGACAACAATAACCTGTATTTTTCAGAACTTGGCACTTATAACCTAAATTGACAAAAGAGAGAAGAAACCGAAATTCCGTAGGTTCTACCACTCAAGATGATTCGGCACTTAGATCCTTTTGATTTGAAGTGGGCTATGACATCCATACCCTTTTTGACGTTGATCCAAGGGCCCAGACATCCATTGTCTGTATATTTTGGAACTATAAGCATTTCTTACCTTTTGATTTCCCGCTCTTGAACCGAAATTTCGTAGCTTCTAGCACTTGGAACCCTTGGAAAACCGAAATTTCCATATTATTGCCATTGGTCCAAGACAACCATTATCTGTATTTTTCTGAATTTGGCCTTAATGACCTTTTGAATTTCGTTCTCAAACGGACGCCTTTCGCGGAATAAATTGGCCAATGACAGAAAAAACTGAAATTTTCAAGTGCTACCACTTAGGATGATTCGACTTCAAATCGGCTATGACACATATACCTTTTCGAATATTATTGACTTTGACTCAAGACATCCATTACCTGTATTTTTCAGAACTGTTCACTTATAACCTATTGAATTCCCGCTCCCCAAAGAATGCCTTTCGCGGAATAATTCGGAAAACGACGGATGAAACCGAAATTTCGTAGGTTCTAGCACTAAGAATTATCCAGCACTTAGGCCCTTTTGACGTAAATTTGACTAATACACTGATAACCTTCTGTATATAATTATTGACGCTAGCCTAAGACAATAATTACCTCTATGTTTCGGAAACTTGGCACTTATAACCTTTTGAGTATCCGTTTTCCAACAAACGCCTTTCAAGAAATAAATTGACAAACTACGGAAGGAACCGAAATTTCCGAGGTTCTACCACTTAAGACGATCCGACACTTAGATTCTTTTGACATAAAATAGGCTACGAGTCGTATACTATTTTGTATATTGTTGAAGTTGGCCCAAAACAACCATCACCTGATCTTTTCGGAACTTGGCACTTATAACCTTTGTAATTTCCGCGTTTAAACGTGCGCTTTTCGCGGAATAAATTGGCGAACGACGGAAGAAATTGAAATTCCGTAGTTTCTTGTATTTTTCGGAACTTCACACTTATAACCTTTCGAATTCCCGCTCTAAAACAAACGCCTTTCGCGGATTCAAGTTAAAACCCTTGGAAAAACCTAATTTTCGTAAGTTCTACCACTTAGGTAATTTCGACTGAAAGTCGGCTATGAGACTTATGCCCTTTTCCATATTATTGACGTTGGTCCAAGACAACCATTATCTGTATTTTTCTGAATTTGGCCTTAGACTTTTTGAATTCTCGTTCTCAAACGAACGAATTTGGCGGAATAGATTAGCAAATGACAAAACCGAGCAAAAAACAAGAAATTTCGTACGTTCTACCACTTAGGATGATTTGACCTCAAGTCGGCTATGACACATATACCTTTTGGAATATTATTGACGTTGACTCAATACATCCATTACCTGTATTCTTCGGAACTGTTCACTTATAACCTATTGAATTCCCGGATTCCCGCTCTTCAAAGAATGCCTTTTGCGGAATAATTTGGAACAAGACGGAAGAAACCGAAATTTCGTAGGTTCTACCACTAAGAATGATCCAGCACTTAGGTCCTTTTGACGTAAAGTTGGCTAATACACTTATAACCTTCTGTATATAATTATTGACGCTGGCTCAAGACAATAATTACCTCTATTTTTCGTAAACTTGGCACTTATAACCTATGAGTCTCAGTTCTCAAACAAACGCCTTTCACGAAATAAATTGACAAACGACGGAAGGAACCGAAATTTTCCAGGTTCTACCACATAGGACGATCCGGCACTTAGATCCTTTTGACATACAGTAGGCTACGGCACTTATAGCATTTTGTATATTATTGACGTTGGCCCAAAACAACAAACACCTGCATTTTTCGGAACTTGGCACTTATAACCTTTGTAATTCCCGCTTTTAAACGTGCGCCTTTCGCGGAATGAATCAGTATAGCCACTGTTTATGGAATGTATGTTCTCTAAACTGTGGTATGGCAACCGAAATTTCGTACACAAAAGGATCGACGGATGAGCGGAACTACTTAGCGCGACTGCCGAATCCAAATGCGAGTTTCCACCGTGCCTTTTCCGTGAATGAGTTCGCTCGGTACATAAATTATCTTTAATAACAATTAAACAGTGTGCTCTCTGCGGCAACTACGAAGGTGAATTCATTGTTCTGCTCATCGCCGGAACAACGGCACAGAAGCTTTCATTATAATATTATTTCATTGTTGTAGATAGATTTCATTTTTTTTGTGTACAGGGTGTTTCTCGTACAGTTATCCCGATGATTGGTTCTTGTATTTATACTATACTAGCTGACCCGGCAAACGATGTTTTGCCATGAACACTATTTCTAGAAAATATTTTTTTAGTTAAATATTCATCAACACACCTTTGTTATTTTATTTTCTACTTCTTCTTAGTTTGACTATTCATAAAATCGTGTTCCTTCAATTTTCTATATTATATATATATATTTTGCCATACAAAGTGTTGTTTTTGAAATAAAAGAAGTTTCCTGTTTTTTTTTATGACGGTCCTGGATTCTGATCTCGAATTTTATTCAGTTTCGATGGGTAATATGAGTGGAATATTTATACCAAGTATGGATAGTTTATACAAAGTGGCTAAAAAATTATGACCAGATGAAGATTTTGCCAAAATCAAGATAACGTCCTGTATCTGTTATAAATCTGAAACACCCTGTAATAAGTAAGAGAAATCGAAAGAAAATCAAAAGTTTTACGAACTGACTATGAAAATGTCTACAAAATAGTCTACAAAGGAACATTCCCAAGAGTCTTAATTTGTCACAAGTTTAATCTCAATTAGATCGGCAGATCTCCAAAACAAATTTCGCCGCATTGACATCATTGATTTTGCTTAGGATTATTCAAAACATAGATAAATAAATTCCTTCAGGCACATTCCAAATTGTTTCTACCATACCTAATTGTCAGTTAGTTTCCATGACAAATTATCATCAACTGACTCATCAAAAAAGACTCACTACAAGTGCACTCATTTTTTACAGATATTCTGCTATATCTGGATAGATGTTTACTTCAAACATAGATTAAAACTCCCCTAAAAGCTATGCTATGCCTATGAAAACCATAAAACAAGACAAAAACACGTGTTGAAAATTGAAATTTATGTTTTTCAACATATCTTCAAAGTATTCTGTTCATTTGTTCAAGTAGCCCTCCTACTTTTCACTGACAATTGCATACAACTTTTATAACCTGACCTTGGTAATCATGTGATCATTCAAATGACAATTAAAAGAGGATGCATCTTTAATACCTCGAAATCATTGGAATTGTACCTACCCATTTTCCGTAGTATTTTGATATATTAGCAGAGTGAAAAGAGTCAATTTTCACAACAAAGAAAATGGGTAGGTTACTCAAACGTTGTAAAAACGCAATACTCCATCTGTCATTGAAAAATATTCATGAATCATACTGTATGTTCATTATCATTACTCGCATCTCTAGATAAATAATATTAGAGAGAATGAACATCTGCGGTAGTGCGGCATATTTCAAGGAAAACAGTGGGTTTGAAGTTATTTCCCTATTATTTATTTATTTTACTGAACACTTAAATGGATGTGGAAATCATCTCCAGTAACCTGCTTTTCAATGTCATGTAAAGTATGTCAAATTATTCATTGTTTTACTAATGACTTATTGTTGAGAATTTTGATAATAATTAGTCAACTGGCAATCAAGATTTTTGTCTCATTTTAGTTATTCCGTAAAAAAACGGTGGATCGCCAAGTTCTTCCAAAGCATAAATAAGCCATTGGAATTGTTATTGTGCACACTATTATAACTGATTTGTATCAGTTGTTTCCTGCTAAAACTCATCTTTATCTTCTCATTTCCGGTATTACAAAGTTAGTGGAAAACTCTGATATTATTATAATCATACTAAATATACATTATTATGAATTATTGATGGAAGGTCAGAGGAAAGTAATTTTTTAAAAATTGATTTTTCAAATTGTAATGACTTTCAAGAAATTCGAATAGACTAACTTATAAATTTAGTATAATACCCAGTTGCACTTTATTGGATAAGACATACAGTTTCCAAAATAAACAAGTTTGCCAATGTTAATATTTTGTGATTAATCAATGTCAAAGAAGGGAAGATTTGTATTTCGTGCAAAATAATTTATTCAATATTCCTAGCAGAGCGCTTTCGACTGTTAAGTCATCTTCAGTGCGTACCTGTAGGTAGTACTTACTTGAAAAATGCGAGTTTCTTAAAGGACTGTTACCGAAAAAAGAATTGAATCACAATCAATGAAAAATCTACAACATGACTCACCTTCAGGAGTGTAAGAATCTTCTGGGACAATTCATAGTCGAAATTGGAGTACTTCGAATTGGACATATCGTAGATGAACACGATGCCCGCCTTCTGAGTGAGGGGGTTTTGCAAGGCACAGTCCAGCTGATAGACGAGACCCTGTAGAGTGGTCTGGTGGGTGCTGTTGGCAGGTATGTGCTTGTGAGCAGTGAACACAGCTATGGCGGCCTCAGCAGAATCCCTTATCGGCTAAAAAAATAAGCCACCTTCAGTGGTTTGTTAGGTTGATATTTTGAAAGTCACACCCAACAAAAGGGTGCCACTGAAGTTTGTTCCATAAGGAATAACTATGGAGGCAAGTGGAACATTTTTTTGTTTTTCAATAGAATCATCATTCAACTACCGTTCAATTTCATATTTTTTTAAATCATCAATAATGCCGTGGTAATTTTCAAACGGCTAGAAATATACCGCAATTCGCGAAAATCACGAAGTGTGCGGCCTCTGGTGGCTAACTGTACAAGTCTTGCGAGTATGAACAACAAATATGGCGACCATTGTTTTGAAGTTCATAAATGTGTTTTATTGGAAAATAATTTATTTGTTAAAGTGCATATTCCAGAACCTCATTTCTCCCTGATGAAAAAACTAAAATTATTGCATGAACTTTTATTGTTTACAATGAAAAACCAGTACCTACCTTATAATAATATAATATACATTTTCTGAAGCACAATTAGAATTATTGTATAAATGTTGGTTGCAATGATTCGATCTTGAGAATAACTTCAAGTCCTCAATTGCTGGAGATCCTTGTTTATGTAAATAGATGATATTGTTCATTCTGAGCAGCCTCTTCAACCATATCTTCTTTTCCAACCCCTTCACTAGAATTCCATCTCCTTCATAAAAGCCAGTGATATTTCTTGATGAATTCATTTATTTCTTCATACCTATACCATATTGTTGTAATAGCTGATTGCTTGTATGGTTCCATTCCAGTCCATGCAAGTGTTGAGTGGACCATTCCGATCGATCCTTCCATGTGTTTGAAAACTGTGGGATTGTATTATTGTGATATCAATGATGAATATCACCATTGTCCACATCAAAATGGCAATTTCTCTGCACAAATAGTTATTTATGTATCAAGGGCGTAAAGTAGGCGTTTATGGCCTGTGGCGTGAATAATGGCCCGATGGCGATAGCCGAGGGCCATTACACGCTGAAGGCCATAAAAGCATTTCACGCACGTGATACATACACGATTTTATGCACTAGTGGTTTATTTTCGGGCTTGAGTAATATAGTAGTAATGACTATAGATTCCGATAAACTAATATTCCCCCGAATCTAATTTGTTACGTATACATTCAGTAATTAAGAGAAACGTAATGTTCATGGATAATTTAGATATACAAATTATCGTACGAATATTGCAGTTACCGTAAAAGTAAAACTCTTTGATCTCCAGAAAAGATTCATTCTTTAGAATTTTACAATATGCATACCCAGTATATATACCTAATTTTGACGTTGTCAAGCAAGCTGATGGTTGTTGTCTATACCAGTGATAGCCATACATCCAATCAACGAGCTGAATTGTCATTCTTTGACTGAAAAGTGAAAATCAGTGATAATAATAATAGCGAGACTATGGATCGGATAAAGAAGAATTTTATGATATACCGCTGGATATATTAGAATCTAGGAGAATGATCATAGGTTTTTCATGAATTGATATGTGGATATCAGTAAACTGAGAACAGCGGGCGGTAAAGTGCACTTTACGGCCCGTGGGCCATAATGAGACCGTGGGCAGTAAAGTGCAACTTAACGCCCGCTAAACCGGCCGGTAACGTGCACTTTACGGTCCGCTAGTGCATAAAAGTAATTTTTTCCATACTGGGAACCTCGCTGGAAACCTTGTACGTATTTCAAGAAGTCAACTTATTAGATACTATTTTGCAAAATGATTTGGAAATAACCAATTTGCAATGAGTGCATACGGCAATGTTTTTGTTGTTCATACTCAGTTGGGAATTTGACGCTGATTTGACGTTTAATAGAGCCATCTATTGGTTCGTGATTTTCGCGAATTAACAACCACCGAGGTCACGGTTTTGGAAGTAGGGGCAGGCAAAAGCACAGTTGCCATATTATGTTGAAATACGATTGGGAACTTATTATTTATTCAAGAAATCATTGATTCTCAATTATGTATTGGTCATATTCTTAATTTACTATGAATAATTCATCATCTTGAATTGTTCCCTCTGATGTGTTGCCTCTAATGTGTTGTGCTTTATTGCTTATGATGAATTTGTGTTAAAAATATTTACTTATTATTAATTCCTATTAATTCACACTAGAGAACATTTGGTACGGTGAACGTGACAACACAGGATTGTGGGCGTTGTCTTGTCAGTTCTCATTTAGCACAGCATTCTCAAGTCCCTAGCCAACGGCACGTTTGAAATGAGATCTGAAATTCAACAATTTAGAACAACGCATAAACAAATTATTTACTTAAATACGCGTGCCAAGTATTCCAAGAATTGATTTAGGTCCCTACCGACAGAGTGGAGTAATGAACGAGTTCAGAAATTCATAGCCAAACTTGAAAATAGCTAAAACTTCTACCACTGATTTTGAGGTTATTTCATTTCGTCATATTGGCTGTCTGTAAAAAGAGACACTCATTTTTGTTTTATGTCGTGATGTTCTGTGACCCCTGTCACTGTTTTTAGGTTAATTCAAAACAAAACAAATGAAAGAAGAGCATTCAAGAATTTTCATCTCGAGTTTATCTATGATTCAGATATTGAAAACATTCAAGAAGGACCTCTGTGTACCTGTGTAAATATTATGTTGAGCCCTTATTTGAGAAGAAAGAAAGGATCATCATAAAAATAACCAAATTTGCATAATAATCTCATTCCCTCTTTTTCCAAAATGTACCAACAGACAGTTTAGTTCATTGCTCCAGTATATCACCTGACGAAGCTACTGTGTTAGCGAAACATGTCGTGTGTTTGAAGGAATTTTGTGGAAATCTCATCGTTTGTGAAGATTTTACATTTGATAGAATCAAGTTTAATAAAATGAAAACAGTGACCGAGATTGACATTGAATGAAATACATATTTGATTGACCCGATAACATAACATCTTAATTGAATATTTTTCAATTATAATCGTAAATAGTATACAGCTATTAGATAGGTGTGATGCTTCGATCTTGATTATTTGAACACCCGCTTGTACTTGAAATATTTGTCTATTATACCTTGATTGCTATACTATTTCTCAAATTTGCAATAATTGTTTCATGATGCTGTTTATTGAGTTCGATGCAATAGGTCGCATGCGATCGACCCTGGAGGTAAAATACTATTGAGTTTATTGGTAAAATATTGGAAAACAACCTCACTCTTCTGTGAAACATTGAAACACAACCTCACTTTTTTTATTTTTTTATCAAAGGATTGAAATAGTTTTTCACAATATTTTGCTATTCATTAATTCATGCATGCCTTCTCATTGTGCTGTTGTACAATACACAAAAAATGCAACGAAAGACGAAGGCATATGATTTTTCAGATAAATAGTAATCTCACATAGTTTTCATTATGGAATGTTGTCATGTCTTATTAAAATTCCTCCTTATTGAAAATATCTACAACACACACGATCATATTTCGTCAGCATGTCAGACCGGTCCAGAGAAATTACCAAATTATCGAATAATCGAAAACCGAGTCGAAAACTATATGTGAGTGACTATAGTAGGTACTTACTTTCAAATCATAATGTACCAACCGGATTCCTTCGTCTCCCGCTGCATTTTTTGTGCATTTTACAACAGCACAATGTGATGGCATGCTTGAATTAATGAATAGCCAAAAAACACGATTCCTATGCCAAAATAATTGTGAAAAACTATGTCAATCACTTGTAAACAAATAAGAAAAGTGAGGTTGTGTTTCATTGTTTCACCTCCAGGGTCGGTCATCTGACAGTTCTTGCACGCAACGAATCTGCTAAATGCCATATACGTATTAATAATCAATACGGATAATCACTATCTGTTTCCATAGCGAAACATGAAGCCGATTTTTGAAGACAAATGACTATCCATAAGGAAAAGTTTTGAAACGATCAGACACATACTGCTTTGATTGAAAGGCTAGTAAACGTCATTGTCCACCGAAACGCATGTCTTTGATGACTACTATAATAGCGCATGGCGTATCATGCCACCAAATCCTTATGGATATTCATTTGTTTCATATTTTTGGCTTCATCCTGGCACCCGTTATGATCCGTATTGTTTATTAATACGTATATTATGCTAAATGCAAGCACTTATATTTGACATTTTACTGTCACACACTGAAAACACCGAACTTGACAGGCCAATCAGAATCAAGAGTCAAGTACGGTGTTATCGATAAGACTAGGGTCAATTTCCATCAAGGCACCCTAGATAAGACGATCTTGACTTGAGCGTCTGATTGGTTCATTTGATAACTGCGTGAAATAGTCATCCTAATAAACCTACCAAAATAGTGAATTTTCCTGTAAGCAGCTCAGAATAAAGCGGCTCATGCAGCGGATCAAAACGAGTTAGGCCTTCTCGATGTCTTGTTAGTTCATGAGTGTCAAAGAGAGCTAACGCCCTCAGAACGTCGAATTTTCTAGCGTACAAAAATCGTACTGCAGTAGACCAAGCTGTTGGGCCGATTTTTCGGCGGTATTTCGCGTTCACTTTTTCCAAAAACTCTTTGGTTGCCTGGAATAAAAAAGTTTTTTGAAATTTCGTTATGAAATGGCTAAGATTTTGTTTATAATTTCAACGTTAGAATGGAGGTCATGTGAACACTAGGGTCCATATCAGATTTCATAAAACCACTAGTTGCAATATGAAATAATGAAACAGTAAATGCTTGTGGAAGTAGTAGAGACAATCAACAATTAAATTTCAATATTCCTCGCAATATTCCAATAAGTATTCAAAGAAATCTCAAAAATGACTGTATATTACATGGCGAGGTTTTGCACATGATGTGTGATTTTTACAATGCCGGGTACCGAGTTTGATCTAAAATTCACAAAGCGGGTACCGAGTACGGCTAGTACCGAGTACCCGGTATATTCACCGAGTACCGGGTAGACACAGCTGTAAATAACTAGAGAACGAGTGCACATAACCTAACTTTAGTAGACCAGAATGCTCTGCAACTTCGT